CTTTACTTTTCATGACTTGGCTTGACTTGACTTCAAGTCAACCTTACGGAGGGAGGGGGAGGGAGGGGAAGGGACCTAAGCTCGAGGGGAGGGCCTCCTTTCCCTCCTTTCCTCCCTCGCCGTCTGTGGAGAATGGGGGAGGCGGAGGATCCTGGGCCCCAGGATCTAAGATTCGAGGAACTCCTCCTCATTTCCTCCTCTCTTATCTCCCTCCTCGCTCTCCTTGAAAGGAGGAAGGGAGAGAGGAGGAGGGGGAGGAGGAAGATGAGGAGGAGGAGGAAAAAGAGGAGGAGGAGAAGGAGGAGGAGGAGGAGGAGAAAGACCAGTGTAAACCCAACTCGCATCAACGATGTTGCAATAAAACCTTCGAACAAATTCCCTCTTAATGAGGCCCTACAGAAATCTATCTCAATTGCCGGAAAAGCCCCATTGAAAGACAGCCGTCATAGAATCCTCAATCGTGCCCGAACGCCCTTCCTGAGGCTTCAGCGCCTCGAGTCGACGTGACTATTGCGTCCTGACGCTCCTCATTCGTGCCAAACAGAACATTCTTGGGACATCAACACCGCGAATCAACGAAACCGTTGCGCCCTGGCAGCCCTAAGTCGTGCGAATACCACATTCCGAAAACGGCCCGCCCTCCACCGTGAACCGGCGGCAAGCTTTTGCAACAAGTGTGCGCCCTGCTGAAGCAATAACCACATCTAAAAGAAAACCAGCCCTCTATCCTTGAAGCTGTGGCACATTCATTTTTACCGATCCGGGGAGGTGCTCTGGCCTGGAACATGGCAGAGACGCCCGTCTTGTTTCTGTCGCAGCGCCCGTGTCTGAGGGCCCTCATCCCGATGTATGTTCAATTCTGTTGGGGCAACACTCGCCCCACAGGCGCTCCTTTGGGAGGACCCCGGTGTGCCACCAGATCTGCTGAAGGCGTCTCTGGCCTGAGATGTTCCCAAACGTTCGTTCCATTTTGGAACCACTGGGGCCCTGTGGTCCTCGTGAGGGGTGCTCTGAAGGCCGTGGGGGCCTCCTGCAAAATCCTGGGGGTACCTTGGGCCAGGGATACCTCCGTCAACGCTCGACAAAAACTCTCGACGCGGCGCAATATCGTGGCCGGGCAACCTCCAGGACGGCGGAAGCCGACCCGAAACCTCTAAAGGCACTTCTGCAGAATCCCCTCGAAATCGAGCCCCTCCCAGAGGGTAGACAGAGGCGAGAGATTGAGGATGATACTGATGATGATGATTATGATGCTGATGATGGTGATGATGATGCATGTGATGATGATGGTGATGATGAAGGGTATGGTTCTGATGAGGGTGATGATGATGATGGGGATGGTGATGAGGATGAGGATGGGGACGATGGTGGTGGTGGTGGTGATGGTGGTGATGCTGACGGTGCGGGGGATGACGATGACGACGACGACATCGCCGACGACCATGATGATGACGATGCTGGTGCTGCTCATGATGATGACGTTGATGCTGGTGATGATGGTGATGATGCGGATGACGATGGTGATGATGCTCGTGCTGCTGAATATGATGCTGCTATGGATGATGAGGATGCTGACGACGGTGACGACGATGACTACGACGAGGAGGAGGAGATTCGTAGCGGCTGGGTGGCGACAGCCGCTCTGTCTGAAATGAGCTTTTTTTCATTTTTTCTGGTCGGGTATCGGAACGCGAGGGGAAGGAGGAGGAAGAGGAGGAGGAGGAGCGAACATAGCTGGCGGCCACGTTCGTCTGCTGGGCTAGCCACGCAGCGGCGCGCGGGCCCGGCCTCCATTAAGGGCAGTGGGGGGGTGGGGGGTCGGGAATCACGGCGGGCGGCAGCGGAGGCGTCGTAGTGCGGCTTGGGGTCCGTGGCGATGAGTTCCTTCATGGGGTAGTTCGTGTGGCGGGCGAAGCCCTCGCTGATGGCCAAGCTGGCGATCCCGTTCTCGCCGCCGTCGGCTGTCGGGCGGGCGGGGAGGTCCATGCGCGCGGGGGCGCTCGCGCTCAGCTGGCCGCGGTGGTACGCGGTGATGTGGATCATCCTCGGGCGCAAGTGCAAGAGCGGGATGGGTTCTGGGCGGTCACGCCCACATATGCAGAAGCGTTTCTGCGGGCGCACGAGCATGCGAACCAGGGTCGCCCATGCGCCCGAGAGGGCTTTGAGGACAGCCCCTGTCCTGGATCGGGGCTGGGTCGCCATGAACTTGCGGGGGCGGATCCAGCGCTCGGCAGGATCCCTGATGAGCTCGCGCCTCTGGATCAGGTCTGGCTCGTCTGGCACTGCTCCTTCGCGATGTGCGTCATCATCGTGGATGGGCTGCGGGTCGGACTCGGCAGCGGTGGTGAAGCGGTGCGGCGCTCCCAGACGGTGAACGCGCTCGGGAGCTCTGCCTATGTCGACGAGGAGTGCGAGTTCCGGGCGGCTGTGCGCCATGATGGGCGTGGCCCGCGCGTGCAGAATGGCGGCAGGAACATGTCGATGCGTACTCCAGATTTCGTAATAAAAGGGAGGGGGTCTGGACCCTCCAAGACAAGCCATTTCAGACCCCCCCCGTGGGAGAACCCTCCAAAACATCGTCCCCAGACACCCCAGGCCCTCCAAGATAGCCTGGAAGAGACCTCCCCCCGAAATGAGACCCCCCTCCCTTTATTACGAAATCTGGAGTAGCATATAACAATCGTGCTCCACGCGCCAGGTGTGCCAGTCGTGCTTGTCGACCATGCTGCGGTCTTCCAGGAGGGCGACGGGGGGGCCCGGCGCCCGCCAGCGGGGAGCGCGCGGCTGTGGGGCCGCGCCCGAGCACCGTGTGCGCGCTGTCTGCTGGATCTTCACGGCGAGAGTTTTTTTTTTTTTTTTTTTTTTTGTTCCCAACCATCCTGTGGTGTTGGGTCCTCGTTTTGAAGAGACAGCGCCCCGCGTCCACTCCTCCTCCCGCTGCCCCCTTCCTCCTCTTCATCCCTGCGTTTCACCCACCGCTTCGTGGCCCCATAGGGAGCTCCACCGAAGGCCCCACTGGCAGGGTTCGCATGGCGGCCTCGGGCCATTTCGGCACACCCCTCACGAAGATCGTGGCCCCATAGGGAGCTCCACCGAAGGCTCCAGTGGCAGGGTTCGCATGGCGGCCTCGGGCCATTTCGGCACACCCCTCACGAGGATCGTGGCCCCATAGGGAGCTCCACCGAAGGCCAGTGGCAGGGTTCGCATGGCGGCCTCGGGCCATTTCGGCACACCCCTCACGAGGATCGGGCCCCATGGCGCCAGTGGCAGGGTTCGCATGGCGGCCTCGGGCCATTTCGGCACACCCCTCACGAGGATCGTGGCCCACATAGGGAGCTCCACCGAAGGCCCCAGTGGCAGGGTTCGCATGGCGGCCTCGGGCCATTTCGGCACACCCCTCACGAGGATCGTGGCCCCATAGGGAGCTCCACCGAAGGCGCCAGTGGCAGGGTTCGCATGGCGGCCTCGGGCCATTTCGGCACACCCCTCACGAGGATCGTGGCCCCATAGGGAGCTCCACCGAAGGCGCCAGTGGCAGGGTTCGCATGGCGGCCTCGGGCCATTTCGGCACACCCCTCACGAGGATCGTGGCCCCATAGGGAGCTCCACCGAAGGCGCCAGTGGCAGGGTTCGCATGGCGGCCTCGGGCCATTTCGGCACACCCCTCACGAGGATCGTGGCCCCATAGGGAGCTCCACCGAAGGCCCCAGAGGCAGGGTTCGCATGGCGGCCTCGGGCCATTTCGGCACACCCCTCACGAGGATCGTGGCCCCATAGGGAGCTCCACGAAGGCGCCAGTGGCAGGGTTCGCATGGCGGCCTCGGGCCATTTCGGCACACCCCTCATCAGGATCGTGGCCCCATGGCACTGGCCCCAGAGGCAGGGTTCGCAGCCATTTCGGATCGCCCCATAGGGAGCTCCACCGAAGGCGTGGCAGGGTTCGCATGGCGGCCTCGGGCCATTTCGGCACACCCCTCACGAGGATCGTGGCCCCATAGGGAGCTCCACCGAAGGCCCCAGTGGCAGGGTTCGCATGGCGGCCTCGGGCCATTTCGGCACACCCCTCACGAGGATCGTGGCCCCATAGGGAGCTCCACCGAAGGCGCCAGTGGCAGGGTTCGCATGGCGGCCTCGGGCCATTTCGGCACACCCCTCACGAGGATCGTGGCCCTATGGGGAGCTCCACCGAAGGCCCCAGTGGCAGGGTTCGCATGGCGGCCTCGGGCCATTTCGGCTCACGAGGACCGTGGCCCCACTGGAGCTCCACCGAAGGCGCCAGTGGCAGGGTTCGCATGGCGGCCCCGGGCCATAGCGGCACATCCCTCACGAGGATCGTGGCCCCATAGTTGCGCTGCTTCAACAACCGCGCATGGGCGTCGTACTCCGCCTTGTCGACGTGCAACGCCACCTCCTCCCTCATGGCTCTCAAGGCCTTCTCCTGCTTCTGCTCCTCGGTGAGAGGGACGCCGTCCTTGTCGTCGTCGGCGCTCGCGAAGACGGCCACGAACGTGTCCCTGAGCATGTCGGGCTCCAGCGGGAAGCCGTGGCCACATAGGGAGCGCAGGCGAAGATGGCATTCACAATTGCGGCATTCACAACTGCATATGGTTGGGTCCTTCGCCAGGATAATTTTCCCCAAGCGAGAGGGTTTGGGATGATGGAGAAATGATGCTCGGAGGCGCGTCTCGAACTTGACGGCGCGCCGGGATGGGGGCGCTCGTAGGGGGGCGCCAGGTGCGCCTCCCGCGGTGGGCGTTCCAAGCGCAGGGCCTCCTCCTGATGGGCATGTTGTCGCAGCGGGGCAGCAGCCCCGCGGTGGGCGCCGTGCTGGGGGGCAGCAGCGAGAGCACCAGCAGCGCGCATGGCCGAGCCCGGGAAGCGGACGAGGCGTTTAGTGCGAGCCCGCGGTTCTGATGCAGATGGGGGCGTTGGTGATGTGCACGATGCGATGAGCGATGGAGGTCAGGTTGGCTCAGCAGTCGGCATGACAGCGTCCACTTTCAGCGGTGGCAATGCTGAGGCGGGCGCGAGCCAAGTCGTGCTGCGCGCAGTGCCAGTTGTGCCAGTCCGTGATCGTCTTGGAAGCAGTTCACCAGAGCGTGGCGGAGAGCAGCGGCTCGATGTCGTTGTGCGTCTCGATGCAGGTCCGAGGGGTCGCGCCATATGTCGGGTTCGTCGGGGCTGTCGGGTGCTGGGCGCGTTGGCTCGTGGATGCCCCCAGTGGTCTTTGCCGCGAAGGCAATGAAGTCAGTCAACAGAACTGGGGCGCCATCAATCGCAACGTACTTGCGGCCGATGTCGGTGTTGTCGGGCAGTGTCTTCGCGAGATTGCGGTCCAGGAGCCGAAAGTCTCTGTCGATGCCGCGGAGTTTCATGCCGCGAACCTCCTTGCTCATACTGCCCGTCTGCGCTGTGAGCTCGGCGTTGGGGGTGGAGGTCAATGCGACGCTGGTGCGGCGGGCGGCGTCGATCGCGTTTAAGTTGATCGGCGCGTCGGTGCTCTTGGGGGCGTGCTCGGGGATGTTGAAGTCGCCCAGCAAGGGGGTGGAACGCATGAGAGGGTCCTCAGCAGCGCGATTAAAAAGCTGGCGCCATTGATGACGAATCGCTTCTCTGTCGCTCGGGGGCAGCTCGTGGATGTGGTTGTTCGACGCGTGGATGTCGCGTGTGCGAGTGGCGCCCGCAAAACTGAGCCATGCTGCTCGCCCTTGAGCGACCTCTGCTAAAGACCGCAGTGGTCGTGTTTCGGGTGGGCGGCGCGGCTCGACCTGGTCGGGGGGGTCGAAGAAATCGCGGCCGCCAACCGAGGTGAGGTTCGTGAAGCCGGAGAGGAAGGCCCGGTACTTGTGCTGCTTGGATCTCGCGAGGATGTCCATGTCGATGGTCGTGCCGCGCGTCTCCAGCAGCGCGATCAGAGTCCGCTGGCGAGGCAGAGGCCGGCGTGGGCGGCGCTTCGCTTGGAGCCGTGGATCCGCTGCTCCGTGGTGAGCCTGCGCGTTCAGGAGGGCGACGCTCATGTCGATCACGGGGGGCTGGCTCTGCAGTGGGGCCGAAGGAAGGCAGAAACCGCTGGGCGGAGGCCAGCGCGTCGAAGAAGCCGGACTCGAAGGCGGTGCGGATGTTGTTTGGCTGTTGGTCGTTGGTGCCATGTCGTGCTGCAGCAGCTGTCCACCGCATGGTCGTGCCCACATGGCAGCTGGCCCATTAGGAGTACTGCCCACATGCAGTCAAACCTGAACCTCATTCTGGCACGAGATGTAGCCGGGCTCATGCGCAGGCGGAGGGTGTAGTGGTCCAGGCGCTGGTTGCTGAGATTACCCAGGTACTTGAGCTGGACTTCTCGGCGGCGTACTGTTCGCGGGCTCTTATCAGCCGACGCGTATAGCAAAGTAGGAGCAGGACCACCGACTGAAATAGTGAAATCACGCCAAACTCTTCCGACGTGTAGTGCTCTGTGAAGGCGCCGTGCGCGCGGTTCTGCCACCGCTGTGTCGCCAGTGCGGGTGAAGCTGTGGCGCTTGCTGATGCCCGTGGTATTCAAGGATATGTGGTCGCCTTTGACTTGGGCCTCCTTGGACCACGGTTCCAGCGCATGTTGGAAATCGTCGATGCTGACAGGGGGTGGCGCAGCCGCGCCAAAAGGTGCATGGGTCAGCGGCTCTGTCCCATGTCCCAGCGTTGGCCTCGTCGATGCCGGGGCTGTGGGTCTCAGCGTCGTCCACGGTCGTCTGGAGCTTGTTGACTGATTCTCGTAGTTCTCGAGTGGCCACTTCTGTGGCTGATGTTCTGGCTTTGGTGTCCTGCAGGTCTCTCTTGGTTCGTTCATGCTTGGTGTTGAATTCCGCGGCGATGGACGTGATGGAAGGCAGGAGCTGTGAGCAGGCGGACTCCACGATAGACTTGGCGATGGTTTCAAACTCAGCGGCACGAGTCTGGACCTGCGCGGCGAATGTTTCCTCGAGCTGCTGTCGGTGGTGAACTGGCGGTTCTTGGTCCTGTCGCCAGGAGGCAGCATCGAACCACGGGTTGGGACCCCGGCCATCTTTGTCGCAGGAAACACCTGACTAGCTTGTCGCCAACACCTGGCATGGCGAAGGCTCACAGCTTTGAGCCGTGCGACTGAGCACACCTCAGGATATGGAGGCCGCATCACACAAAAACACGAAACCATAATATGGAAGTGGGCGCCCGCAAACCCGTGATTGTTGCGGGAAGGAGACAGAGACTTGCAGCGGCCCAGTGGTGTCCATGTGACACCGCTGGGGTAAAATCATTTTGAATCAAAATGGCTACGGAGGAGGAAAAGGAGGAGGATGAGGATGAGGATGATGATGAGGAGGAAGGGGAGGAGGAGGAAGATGAGGAGGGGGAGGAACATGATGATGATGATGATGACGATGATGATTCTGATGCTGATGATGATGGTGCTGATGATGATGATGCTGATGGTGATGATGACAATTATGATGAGTCGCCCTCTCCGTCTCCTCTCCTTCTCCCCCTCCCTCTCCCCCTGTTCCCCCCGATGACTTCCGATGGCTTGATCTTTCAATCCGCGGGCCCCAGAGGTCCCGACTCCTTCTGGGAAGGTATTTTTTCCGCACTGGGTGCGTGTTTGCGGGCCCCAGGGCCAGAGGCCGAGAGATAAGAGGCCCATGGTTGATCATTTCATCTCGTTGAAAGGCCGGGATCAGTCCGGCAGATGTCTGGTCCTGCCCTCTCCATTTCCCTCCCCTCCCCTCTGCCCTCCCCTTTATCGAGGTCCCGTCCCTTCCCTTCCCCCCTTTCCTCCCCCCCCTCCCCTCCCCCCTCCCCCCCCTCCCCCCTCCCCTCCCTCCCCTCCTCCGTTCCCCTCCCCCTCCCCCTCCTCCCACATCCCCTCCCCCTCCTCCCTCCCACTCCTCCCTTCCCCTCCTCCCTCCCCCTCCCCCCCCCCGCCCCCTCCTCGAGGTCCACCGCGACCAGCACCTCCACGTAGCAGTCGTGGACCTGCGGGGCACCGCCACGCACGCTGCGCATTGCCCCGCGTCGCGCGGGCCGTAGATGTCTTCGATGCCGTCGCCGTTGCCGTCGTCGTCGCAACCGCCGCCGCCGCCGCCGCCGCCGCCGCCGCCGCCGCCGTCGTCGTCGTCGTCGTCGTCGTCCGTCGTCGTCGTCGTCGTCGTCGTCGTCGTCGTCGTCGTCGTCGTCGTCGTCGTCGTCGTCCGTCGCCTGCGATGTCGTCGATTCCGTCGATCGTCGATGCCATCGACTCCGTCGATCCCGTCGATACCTGCGATGCCGTCGTCGTCGCCATCGACGTTGACGTCGAGGTCATCGTCGTCGTCGCCGTCGTCACCGTCGTCGTCGTCGATGCCGTCGTCGTCGTCGTCGTCGTCGATGCCGTCGTCGTCGTCGTCGTTGTCGTCGTCGTCGTCGTCGTCGTCGTCGTCGTCGTCTTCGTCGTTGTCGCCGTCCTCGTCGTCGTCGTCGTCGCCGTCGTCGCCGTCGCCGTCGCCGTCGCCCTACCCGTCGCCGCCGTCGTCGCCGTCGCCGTCGCCGTCGCCGCCGTCGCCGTCGCCGCCGTCGTCGTCGTCGTCGTCGTCGTCGTCGATTCGATTCGATTCGCGGGGCCATGAAGGCGATTCGTCGTCGTCGTCGTCGTCGTCGTCGTCGTCGTCGTCGTCAACGTTGATACCGCCGGAACCGTCGAAGTTTGCGTCAATGCCGTCGTCGTCGGCGACAACGGCGTCGATGTCGTCGTCGTCGTCGTCGTCGTCGTCGTCGTCGTCGTCGTATTCGTCGTCGTCGTCGTGCTTGTCTGGCGACCTGCGAGCGGCCATGGCATCGCACCTGCAGCACGTCAAGGTGCTCCATGGCGCGCTGCACCCCCGACTCGAGCAGGTCCCAGCTCGCGAAGACGACCGAGAGGCGTGCGAGGTCGAGCACGTGCTGACCCGCCTCGGGTGTCCCTGGCCCACGGTGCCCCCCCGATTCTCTCCGCTGTCGTGGCCGGCTCCCGCCCCCGCCTCTGGTCGGTAGGAGAGGGCATCTTGGTAGTAGCAGTACGAGTCAGGGCAAGAAGAGGAAGTATGCGAAGGTGAAGAAGAATGAGGGTCAAAAGACTAATACGATGACGAAGAAGAACGCTCGCACGAAACACATTCAGACAAATAAGTATGCCGAGTAATACTCAGGCGAGTCAGAAAATTACGAAAAATACGAAAGACACATCTAGTCATAACGATGATGATGCTAATACTTGACTATGAACACGAATGATAATAAGTGGGCGACGGAACATAAGGAGCTGCATTTGCATTCGAATACACTTTCGGAGAGGCCCGCGTGGAACTCCGAAAGCTATTATGCTTGTGCATGTGTTTCTTCTCGACCTGGGGTCCTTTGGGCCTCGTGAGGGGTGCTCTGGAGGCCCCTCGGGGCCTCTCGGGTGACCCATCGGTGGTGGGAAGTGGGCAGCGGCATGACGTAGGAAGGCACTGAAGGCAGGAAGGGCAAGGGACAGGTCACTCGACGATTGGAGTGGGGAGGCGCCCGCAATGAGCTGGAACCTGGGAGCCCGCAAATACCCACTTCCAACAACCGAGGGTCCATCCTCGGGGGCGCCCTGGGCCGAAGACACCTCTGGCACCACACTGGGGCGCCTGGGCCCCGTCGGTCGGGCCGTAGAGCACGTACGCCTTCACCTCCGCGGCGGCCTGCGCCTTCACCCCCGGGTTGTGGGCGAAGAGGGCCATGGGGAAGAGGGCGGGCTTCGAGTATGCCTCGGGGGAGGAAGAGGGTGCCACTGCCGCTGCTCGTCCAGGAGAGCCCTCGTCGCCACGGCTGGATTCCCCTCGAACTCCAGGTCAGAACGCACCGCGGGAGAGGCCCTGGGAGTACAGTCAGAATCCACAATGGGGATGCAAGGCGAGGATGCAGGACCCTTGGAAGTCCCATTTACCATTTCGAGCTCCCTGGACGTCAATATTGGCTCAGGATGGGCCGGAGAAGCAGGGACGCAAGGGTGCGGTCAGAAACTTTTGGATAGCGTGTCGTTGCGGCGGCGACGGCGACACGCTATGCCCTGCAAGCGGATAGCCTGTCACTCCGCTACACAGGGCGGGAGGCCGGGCACTCTTCGGGACGTCGAAGCCTGGGGACCTGGGAAGTGGATGGCGTGCCGCGCCCAAGCGTGGTGGGCCAGAACCGGCGGAGCGGCTGTCCCAACGTGACCGACCGCAGCCTTGATGAAGCCGTCGGGGGGGGGGAAAGGCGAGAGGAGGATGAGGAGGCGGAGGAGGCGGAAGCGGATGCGGATGCGGATGCGGATGCGGAGGAGGAGGAGGAGGAGGAGGCGGAGTAGGAGGAGGAGGATGCGGAGGAGGAGGAGGAGGAGGAGGCGGAGGAGGAGGAGGAGGAGAGGAGGAGGAGGGAGGAGGGAGGAGGAGGAGGGAGGAGGAGGGAGGGGCGGAGGAGGAGGAGGGCGGGGAGGAGGAGGCGGGAGGAGGAGGAGGCGGAGGAGGAGGAGGAGGAGGAGGCGGAGGAGGAGGAGGAGGAGGAGGAGGAGGAGAGAGAGAGGAGGAGGAGGCGGAGGAGGCGGAGGAGGAGGAGGAGGAGGAGGAGGAGGAGGAGGAGGAGGCGGAGGCGGAGGAGGAGGAGCGCATCTTCATTGCGGATCTTGTCTGTGGCGGTATCCGTGCACTTTTTTCTCCCTCGGACGGGCCTCTCCGGCGGGCCAGTCGGCCCCGCTGCCGGCGGGCAGGCTCAGCACGGCCTCCATCAGGCGCTCCTGGGCTTGGGTCGGGCATGTCCTCCTACAGGCACATCTTGGAGGACAAATTGCAACAATAGTCCAACCATCTGCAAACATGGCAACCAAAAAAACATCACAAATCGGCCCCCAGACTATTTGTGGACTAATTTTTGAGTGCTCCCCTTGTAGGGGGACCGGCCCATGATCCTGGGCCAGCTCGGCCTGGGCCAGCAGCAGCTCCAGGTCGGAGTCCACCTGCCTGGGAGGGCACAACGGCGCAGGCACGAACCCTCGGAGCTCCCCGCGCATCTCCTGCATCGGCGCTGGCTCGGATCCCTCGTATGGGCCTCGGGGCACGGCGGGGGGTCCAGGCCGGGGAGGCCCATGCAGGCCACGCCCGCTCGCCTGCGTGCTCCCGTGCTGCTGCTGTGGAGACGCCCCTCCCCGGCGCGCGGAACGCGCCGGGAGCGGTGCCGGATATCCGCCGCCAGTGGGCTCCGGCGCCGACCCAAGAGACCCGCGCGGAGCTCCGAGCGTCTCTGCCCATGCCACTTGTTCTCGCTCGACCGCCTGATCGGGTCCAGCTCGTACATCGACTTGAAGGCGTCGGCCTCCGGCACGAGGTGCTCCTGGATGCTCCGCCTGGCGATCGAGGCCGGGGGCGCCTTGAAGGCGGCGTAGGCGGGCGCATAGGCGCTCGCGGCCTGCAGGGAGGAGGGAAGCCCTGACCAAGCCAGGGCGGAGGGGGCGATCCACGGCGAGGAACTTCTGCTCAGCGTGCCGCGGCGGCGGTCCCCCCGCGACACGCTGTGCCCTGCACGCTGGTGGGGCGTCGCTCCGCTCCGCGGGCCGGGAGACCGAGACTGGCTCGGAACGTGGACGCGTGGGGACCGGGAGACGCGGCTGGCGTGCGGCGCCGCAGCGTGGCGTGCCCAAACCTGCTGCGCGGCACGCTGACCAACACTCGAGCCCTTGCGCTTGGCTGAGGCTCGCCCTCCGGGGGGGATCCAGGACCAAGCCCTGACACTCGGCGCCGTGACTTCTTGACAGCGCGGCTTCCCAGAGGTCCGAACATCTGCCCGGGTGCCGGCGCTTCACCCCTGAGTCGTTTGATGACCGGCCCCAGGGCCCGGTAACGCCCCCTCCACTCCCAGAAAGTGAAGACTGCAAACACACCCGTCGTGTTTCTCCCGACGCGAGGATGTCTTTAAAAGGGGCCCTGGGACACACAAAGCAAAAAGACACAAATCCCAGGATTCCCGATATCTTCAAATATTTTCAGGGTTTTCGTCTTTCCCCCCCACTTCCCATATTTTACCATATTTTCCTGGGAGTCGACGATCAAGTGTGTCTGTGTGTTTCTTTCCCTCCTGAGTCTTGTGAGTCTGGGGGGCTCCATCCACAGGCCTTTGGAGTCCCTCGAGGGCCCCCTCCGAAAATGCCATCCAAGGGTGCGCGGCCTGTGCTTGTGCCGCTTCAGTTCCGCAAGCCTTCTTGACCAGCTCCCGAACAGCTTCCATCTTCCTCCCCCTCCTCCTCCTTTTCCTCCTCCTCCTCCTCCTCCTCCTCCTATTCCTCCTCCTCCTCCTCCTCCGCCTCCTCTTCCTCCTCCACGCTCCTCCTCCTCCTCCGCCTCCTCCTCCTCCTCCTTCCCTTCCTCCCCTGTGCCGACGCCATCCGTGACAGGGGAAAGGGAGAAGCTCAGGTCACGTACGGGGATCCAGTCAGAGTTCCCTGAAATCGAAGAGCACCCCTGATTGTAAACACTTTGCCCAGAATATGGCTGGGCGACAGTGCCTTAGAATCGTATGCCACTCCCTGTTAATGGACAAGCATTGGCATCCGCCCCCTGTGCCTGAAGCTAGGATGCCCATCCATGTTGATGAACAGGTATGGGCACCCCGCCTTCGCAACGAGGGTTCTGACGGGTACAAGGAACTCTGACCCACCTCAGTGGCCGTGGGACGGCCATATTGCTGTTGCGGGCGCGGCAATTTCCGAAGTGATGGTGATGGCGTTCAGTAGGTACCGGGTTGGCCTAGACGCCCATCCCTGTCGAAACACTAGCATGGTGTTCAATTGCGAGGACTTGGCCGCGCAAGCTTCTCGTGTATGGCCGCGCCTTGGCGCCCTCGTGATGCGTGAGCCGCTGCGTACACGTCGGTCGGAAGAAGTAGGTAGAAACATGAAGTAGGAAGGCGGACAGAGCATACTGAAAACAACACGCAGCAAAAGCTTATCGGTTCTTGGAGTAGGAAGGCGCTCGAACTATCCTGGGATCTGTGAGTCCAAAAATACCTACTCTCAACGACTGGCATGTAAGATCGCTTTGTCCCCATGCGACGGTTTGACGGAATCATCGTGCTCGGTGGCGCTGCGAGGCAGACTGGTCCGCTCAGAATCCTTTCGGGTAGAGCTAGGATGCCCATGCCTGTCGATGGACAGGCAAGGGTCCTGCGATCTGACCCACCCAAATCGGCAATCGGCCGTGGGACAGCCGTACCGCCTGTGCGAGCGCTGCAACCTTTGATAGTGAAGATGTCAAATCGACGCCGCATTAGTCTGGATGCCCATTCCTGTCAAGGGGCAAGCATTGGCACCCGCTTCTCGTGCCTGAAGCTGTGATGCCCATCCTCGCCGATGGACTGTCATGGACATCCCATCCTCGCGATGAGGTTTTCGGCGGGCATCCCGGAGACTTGGCCCGCCTCGAATTGCCGTTGCGAGCGCGGCAACTTCGCCACTGACGGCGTTCTGTTGGCACCGTGTTGGCCTTGATGCCCATCCCTGTCGATGGACAAGCATGGGCATCCGCTGCTCGTGCCTGGAGCTAGGATGCCCATCCCTGTCCTTGGACACGCATGGGCACCCCGAGCTCGCAAAGAGGGTCTTGCTGGGCGCAGGGGAATCTGGCCAACCACAACGGACGTGATACGGCCATGCCGCTGTTGCAGGCGCGGCAACCGTCGGTGGTGAAGACGCCAAGATGGCCAGGCGTTAGCCTGGATGCTGCCCGTCCCTGTCAATGGACAGCATTGGCACCCGCTCCTCGTGCCAAGAAGCTGAGACGCTCATCCCTGCCGATGGACAGGCACGGGAACCCCGCCCGTGCAATCAGGCTTTTGCTCAAAATCTGAGAGATTGAATCCGCCCCCGTGGCCGTGCGACGGCCGTACTGCCTTTGTGGGCGCGGCAAACTTCGACGATCATTTCGTTCGGGCATTTCCTTCCAGTCTGGGCTTCCAGCAATCTTTGTTGGCCATCCCCGTTCGGTGACATTCCCGACCGCATGCAGTAGCATAGACAAGAATCAGGTGGAATCTCGGTGGGAGCCAGTGGAAGGATTCTGTGAAGATCACCCGGCGGGGCCCTTTCGTTCTACACATTTGACAACACTGCACAACGGAACGCTGGAACCGAGAGCGGTAGACTGCTCTCGAGGATGTAGCCACCCGTATAAACTATGGCCCGCATCGATTTCTGCGAGACGGCCATGTTGCCGTCGCGGGAGCGGCAACTTCACTGCTGCAACGTTCAAGAGGCACCGTGTTGGCCTGGATGCCCGTCCATGTCGATGGACGGACATGGGCATCCGCTGCTCGCGCCAAAAGCTAGGATGCCAATCCTGTCGATGGGCAGGCACGGGCATCCCGCGCTCGCGTAGAAGGTCTTGCTGGGCACCAGGGACTCTGGCCAGCAAAGACGGCCGTGAGACGGCCACTGGCGCGGCAAACTTCTACAGTTGCGGTGTCAAGGCGGCGCCGCCTTGGCCTGGGTGCCCACCCTGTCGATGGACAGACATCGGCACCCTCCCCTCGTGCCGAAAGCTCGGATGCCAATCCCCGTCGATGGACAGTCGTGTGCATATCCCGCCCTTGTGGCGAGGGTGTCGGTGGGCGTCCGAGAACCCCTGGCCCACGTCAATGGCCGCCGGACGGCCGCCTGCCGCTGCGGGCGCAGCGACTTCGCCATCGACGGCGTTCCGTCGGCACCGTGCCGGCCCAGATGCCGACTTCTCTTGGCGGACAGGCACTTGCATGCACCCCCTTCGCGTCGAGAGCTGGGAGCGCCCACGTCCGTCGACGGGCAGGCCATGGGCCTCCCGCCCTCGGCACAGCGAGCCTGTTGTGCCGAGCACCTGAGCACTCCGGCCCGTCCCGATGGCCGCATCACCGTCGCGGGTGCGGCAGACTTCGGCGCTCTTACGTCGGCGGTGGACAGACCTCCCTTTAGCAGACCTCACCTTAGTGACACCGGCCTGGGACCGAAGCCGACGGGCCTGGACCCGCAAAAATGACGGCCGCGACGCCCTCTGGCGAACCGAAAACGGCCAATTCACTGATCGACGTGTCAGGGTAGGAGGCCTGTCAATCTCCGATTATGCCTTGCGGCGGCGCCTCCTGGCCAGGGAGGGCCCTCTGTCGGTGCCCCATCGGTCGGAGGGGGCCTGCGGGGCGTTCTGCGAGTGTGGGGGCCACGGCGTGCGGAGGACTGGTAGAAACACCTGGGCTTTGGTCGGGCGTGCCCCCCCACCGGCGGGTCCTGGTAGAGAAAGGACCCACCGCCAAAAGGCAATCAAGCAGCGTCAAAGAAGCGCGAACAACTCGTCAACAGAGTAGTCTCTACTCTTCGGGAGTATTCCTCCCGCAGAGGGACATGCCCGACTTAAACTCAGGCCGTTCTCCAATTTGAATACAGTCAGCCCGTATAGGAGGGGTGCGCGATGAGGATGCGCGGGCCTTGGAGGCCCATCTCGAAGCTTTTCGAGCGGGGCGCGGCCAACGAGAGTGGCCAAGGATGGACCGAGGAGGCAAGGATGCAAGGGGACCCTTGGGAAAGTTATCCATCCTTACTGCTCAGGTCGACTGTAACATGCCTTCAAGGGGGGTGCCCCTCAAAGCGCGTACAGGGTTGGTTTCGTGGCTCCTCCCCTGGCCTGGGCAGCTGATTGACAAAAACAATGCACTTACCGACTTTGAAAAAATGCTGGTTTCGTGGCGCTCCCTGAAGGCTACGGCGTGCGGTGGGCTGCCAACAAAAAGCCTAGGCCCGTAAGTACCACATTTGAGGGACAAGCCTTCCACGAGGAGAGGTTTAAAGCAAGTGAGAGCTGATTTCGTGGCTATCCCCTGCCCTGGGCACATGATGCAAACCACGGCCCTTACCAACTTGGAAAACAACGCGCCTTCCAGAAAGTGATTTTCAAAACACGTACGGTGTTGGATTCATGGCGCTCCTCGGAGGCATTCCATGACCGCATGGTGCGGGACTTAGTGCTTCGGGCAGCATCGGCTACTTCAGGAGCGGGAAGGAGAGCACGCGCCCCGCGAGCCGCCATCAGGCCGGTTGCGTTTGTTTCCCCAACCCACAGCCCTCCCAACGCGAGCCCTTCGACCCCTCTCTCGCGCACGCGCGAGGTTCATTTCGCTTTGCGCTTTGCGCGCAAGACGCTGGAGTATAATTGGATGCCGCTGCCCTTGTGCCCCAGTGTCCCGACCGCCGATTCTGTAAATTGAATTGCGAGATGGGGCAATGGTTTGTCCGCCCCATCGTGTCCTCTTGAGTCGAAGCTCTGTAGTCCGCTTCGGGCGGAAATGCTGGCAGTTCTGCGCAATGCCATGTGAGTTGCGGCTTGCAGCTTGTGCACGCCTTGCACGGGCACCGGTGGTTCGTCGCGCTAGCGTGCTGCAGGTAGAGCCTTATAATCACCATGCCCATAGTGAGCACCCACGGGGGCCCGCTTGTTGAAGGACGGGGCGAGCAACAGAAGCAGCGTGCGTAAGGTCTCCATGTGGCGGTGTCCCAGGTTGAGCATCAAGTCCATGGTGGAATGCAACATCAAGAAACTGCTCATCAGACTATATCGCGGCAGATGCACCGCCAAGCATAAACACATCGCCGCTTCGAGACAACTCAACTGCGACCACTAGCGCGCGCGAGCCACAAAGAAGAAGCCAACAGCGTCACCGACTCCTAAGCGGACGTGGCCCTAGAAAGTCGAGCGTGCTCTTCGGCAACAGCAAACTTGGAGGTCGCTCTGAGGTGGGAGTACTTGCAGCCCTCGCCATGAGAACATCGAAAATGATACTTGAAATCAGTGTCCGTAACAATCTGCGGGCCAACACCCAGCACTTCAAGGTAGTGCAAGTAGAACACCTTTGGCGAATCAGCCTCGGCCCCGAGGCGGACGACGCCAGGAAGATTGCCTTCATTAGCGCGAACGGTACGCGCAGCAGCAGCTTCAGCTCCAAGGAGACGCGCAGAATCGTGAGAAACATCTCTAGGGTCAGGAAGAGCTACGCGACACTTGTGGGGGTCAACGGCAGGAATATGAGGCCCAGGAGGTCCCGCGCGAACGCCTCGAAGACGACCCTCAGGGGTACCACCAGCAACACCGGCAGCAGGGCATGCACAAACACGGCGGTCCTGAAACACAGCGAGCTCGTATTCGAAATCGATGCCAGAGGCGAGGCGGGCGGCAAGATCATGGTCGTGCACGTAGCCATCAGAGGCGCCGATCGGGCAGGCGGCGTCGAAGGATAGCTCTGAGGAGCATCGCGCCAGAGAAGGGAGCCCACGGGAGCCGATCCAGCAACACAAGCGGTCGGGTTGGCGGTGCCCGCGATGTCTGGGCCCCCGGAGCCCGCACTCGGGCAGGCGGCGGGACACGCAGCCCATCGGCGCAGGCAGGGCCTCATCGCTGACGGCACTGGTAAGGGTCAAGGGCGGCGGGGCGAACGGCCGGGAGGCGGTGCTCGGCGGGCG